TTTTTTTCTTCTTGTTTTGAGTAGTATTATAACATTGTTGGAATTTTGTTTTTGTAGTTACCCCATTGACAAATTTATACAATTTTTTCTGTTGCAGAAAACTTCTAGTAAAAAATATTCCACTACACTCTTTTACGCTCTATAATTTATGTTCTCTCTTTTTTTAGTAATAATTTTACATTACACGATTACAAAATTCTAAATTTTTTAGAGTTTGAGAAATTTGTTTTAATAAAATTATTCCACTACACTCTTTCAAGGTCCCTTTTTATTTTTCTTGTAGTTTTGAGTAATATTGAAACATTTTTTAATCTAATTTTTGTAGTTACACCAGTAAAAAATTATCAACTATTTTTGTGTTGGGGAATTTTTTTAGCAAAAAAATTCCGCTCCACTCTTCGAAACTCTATATCTTATTTTCTATTTGTTTTGAGTAATATCTTTATCTTTTTCGAATTAAGTTTTCGTAGTTAGACCAGTTAGAAATTTCTACAATTTTTTTTTTCTGTTCGGGAATTCTTTTAATATAAAAACTAAACTGCAGTCTTTCGAGATCGTTTTGTTTTTTATTTTTCTATTTGCTTTGAGCAATATTTTTACATTTTAGTATTTTAATTTTCGTAGTACTACCGGTAAAAAAATTGTATAATTTTTTTTGTCGGGCAATTTCTTTATAAAATTTCACTCCACTTTTTCAAAGATTGTTTTTTTTTTCTAGTAGTTTTTTTGGAGAATTTTTTTAGTACAAAAAAATCACTATAGTGTTTAAAACTCATTTTTTTATTCTACTTGTCTTGAGTAATATTCTTACTTTTTAGGAATTTAGTATTCGTAATTATTCTATTACGAAATTTCTACACCTCTTTTGTGTTGGGGATTTTTTTCAATAAAAAAATTCCACAACACTATTTCATGTGCGCTTATTTTTTTCTTCTTGTTTTGAGTAGTATTGTAACATTGTTGGAATTTTGTTTTCAAATTTATACAATTTTTTTTCGATGCGAGAAAACTTCCAATAAAAAATATTCCACTACACTCTTTTACGCTCTATAATTTATATTCTCTTTTTTTAGTAATAATTTTACATTACACGATTATAAAATTTCTAAATTTTTTAGAGTTTGAGAAATTTGTTTGAATAAAATTATTTCACTACACTCTTTCAAGGTCCCTTTTATTTTTCTTGTAGTTTTGAGTAATATTGAAACATTTTTTAATCTAGTTTTTGTAGTTACACCAGTAAAAAATTATCAACTATTTTTGTGTTGGGGAATTTTTTTAGCAAAAAAATTCTGCTCCACTCTTCGAAACTCTATATTTTATTTTCTATTTGTTTTGAGTAATATCTTTACATTTTTCGAATTAAGTTTTCGTAGTTAGACCAGTTAGAAATTTCTACAATTTTTTTTTTCGTTCGGAATTCTTTTAATATAAAAACTCAACCGCACTCTTTCGAGATCGTTTTGTTTTTTATTTTTCTATTTGCTTTGAGCAATATTTTTACATTTTAGTATTTTAATTTTCGTAGTACTACCGGTAAAAAATTTGTACAAATTTTTTTTTGGGCAATTTTTTTATAAAATTTCACTCCGTTCTTTCAAAGTTTGTTTTTTTTTCTAATAGTTTTTTTGGGGAATTATTTTAGTAAAAAAATTTCACTATGGTGTTTCTAGCTCATTTTTTTATTCTTCTTGTTTTGAGTAATATTCTTACTTTTTAGGAATTTAGTATTCGTAATTATACTAGTAAAAAATTTCTACACCTCTTTTGTGCTTGGGATTTTTTCAATAAAAAAATTCACAACACTATTTCATGCGTGCTTTTTTTTCTTATTGTTTTGAGTAGTATTGTAACATTGTTGGAATTTAGTTTTCGTAGTTATCCCATTGAAAAATTTATACAATTTTTTCTGTTGCAAAAAACTTTCAGTAAAAAAATTCCACTACACTCTTTTACGTTCTATAATTTATATTCTCTTTTTTAGTAATAATTTTACATTACACGATTACAAAATTTCTAAATTTTTTAGAGTTTGAGAAATTTGTTTGAATAAAATTATTCCACTACACTCTTTCAAGGTCCCTTTTTATTTTTCTTGTAGTTTTGAGTAATTTTGAAACATTTTTTAATCTAGTTTTCGTAGTTACACAAGTAAAAAATTATCAACTATTTTTGTGTTGAGAAATTTTTTTAGCAAAAAAATTCCGCTCCACTCTTCGAAACTCTATATCTTATTTTCTATTTGATTTAAGTAATATCTTTACATTTTTTGAATTAAGTTTTCGTAGGTAGACCAGTTAGAAATTTCTACAATTTTTTTTTCTGTTCGGAATTCTTTTAATATAAAAATTCAACTGCACTCTTTCGAGATCGTTTTGTTTTTTATTTTTCTTTTTGTTTTAAGCAATATTTTTACATTTTAGGATTTTAATTTTCGTAGTACCACCGGTAAAAAATTTGTACAAACTTTTTTGTTGCGCAATTTTTTTATAAAATTTCACTCCACTCTTTCAAAACTTGTTTTTTCTAGTAGTTTTTTTTGCAGAATTTTTTTAGTAAAAAAATTTTACTATGGTGTTTCAAGCTCATTTTGTTATTCTACTTGTTTTGAGTAATATTCTTACTTTTTAGGAATTTAGTATTCGTAATTACACCAGTAAGAAATTTCTACACTTCTTTTGTGTTGGGGATTTTTTTCAATAAAATAATTCCACATCACTATTTCAGGCGAGCTTCTTTTTCTTGTTGTTTTGAGTAGTATTGTAACATTGTTGGAATTTAGTTTTCATAGTTACCCCATTGAAAAATTTATACAATTTTTTCTGTTGCAGAAAACTTCCAGTAAAAAAAATTTCACTACACTCTTTTAGGCTCTATAATTTATATTCTCTTTTTTTTAGTAATAATTTTACATTACAAGAGTACAAAATTTCTAAATTTTTTTGAGTTTGAGAATTTTTTTTATAAAATTATTTCACTACACTCTTTCAAGGTCCCTTTTTATTTTTCTTGTAGTTTTGAGTAATATTGAAACATTTTTTAATTTTATTTTCGTAGTTACACAGTCAAAAATTATCAACTATTTTTGTGTTGGGGAATTTTTTTAGCAAAAAAATTCTGCTCCACTCTTCGAAACTCTATATCTTATTTTCTATTTGTTTTAAGTAATATATTTACATTTTTTGAATTAAGTTTTCGTAGTTAGACCAGTTAGAAATTTCTACAATTTTTTTTTCTCGTTCGGAATTCTTTTAATATAAAAATTCAACCGCACTCTTTCGAGATCGTTGTGTTTTTTATTTTTCTATTTGTTTTATGCAATATTTTTTACATTTTATGATTTTAATTTTCGTAGTACCACAGTAAAAAATTTGTACTTTTTTTTTTGTTGGGCAATTTTTTTATAAAATTTCACTCCGCTCTTTCAAAGCTTGTTTTTTTTTCTAGTAGTTTTTTTGGAGATTTTTTTAGTAAAAAAATTACACTATGGTGTTTCAAGCTCATTTTTTTATTCTACTTGTTTTGAGTAATATTCTTATTTTTTAGGAATTTAGTATTCGTAATTACACCATTGCGAATTTTCTACAACCTTTTGTGTTGGAGATTTTTTCAATAAAAAAATTCCACAACATTATTTCGAGCGCGCGTTTTTTTTTCTTATTGTTTTGAGTAGTATTGTAACATTTTTGGAATTTAGTTTTCGTAGTTATCCAATTGAGAAATTTATACAAATTTTTCTATTACGGAGAACTTCCAGTAAAAAAAATTTCACTGTACTCTTTTAGGCTCTATAATTTATATTCTCTTTTTTTAAGTAATAATTTTACATTACACGAGTACAAAATTTTTAAATTTTTTTGAGTTTGGGAAATTTTTTAAATAAAATTATTCTACTACACTCTTTCAAGGTCCCTTTTTTTATTTTTCTTGTAGTTTTGAGTAATATTAAAACATTATTTCAATTTAGTTTTCGTAGTTACAGCAGTTAGAAATTTCTACAATTTTTGTGTTGGGAAATTTTTTTAGCAAAAAAATTCCGCTCCACTCTTCGAAGCTCTATATCGTATTTTCTATTTGTTTTGAGTAATATCTTTACATTTTTCGAATTAAGATTTCGTAGTTAGACCAGTTAGAAATTTCTACAAATTTTGTTTCTGTTGTAGAATTCTTTTAATATAAAAACTCAAGTGCACTCTTTCGAGATCGTTTTGTTTTTTATTTTTATATTTGTTTTGAACAATATTTTTACATTTTACGATTTTAATTTTCGTAGTACTACCGGCAAAAAATTTGTACAATTTTTTTTGCTGGGCAATTTTTTTATAAAATTTCACTCTGATCTTTCAAAGCTTGTTTTTTTCTAGTAGTTTTTTTGAGAAATTTTTTTAGTAAAAAACTATGGTATTTCAAGCTCATTTTTTTATTCTACTTGTTCTGAGTAATATTCTTAATTTTTAGGAATTTAGTATTCGTAATTATACCAAGTGCGAAATTTCTACACCTCTTTTGTGTTGGGGATTTTTTTCAATAAAAAATTCTACGACGCTATTTCATGCGCGCTTTTTTTCCTTGCTGTTTTGAGTAGTATTGTAACATTTTTGGAATTTAGTTTTCGTAGTTACCCATTGAGAAATTTATACAATTTGTTCTGTTGTGGAAAACTTCCAGTAAAAAAAATTCCACTGCACTCTTTTAGGCTCTATAATTTATATTCTTTTTTTTTAATAATAATTTTACATTACACGAGTACAAAATTTTGAAATTTTTTTAAAATAAAATTATTACACTACACTCTTTCAAGGTCCCTTTTTTATTTTCTTGTAGTTTTGAGTAATATTAAAACATTTTTTTAATTTAGTTTTTGTCAGTTAAATGTAGGCACATATTAACATTTTATGGGGACACAAAATCCACAGCAACTTTTGTGCATGACTGCAAGTTTTATAACGTGGATCATAGAGTTATATCTACTATCATAAATTATCACAATATGAGCCCGTTCAATGTGTCAAGAGTTGTTTCACCTTAAGATTCCTGAGTTGGTGAGCACATCCAGCAGGAATAAATACTGCGTCCCCAAGTTGTTGCTGAAAAGTCCAAGGTTCTACACCTGGGAAGTTAAGACTCATGTTAGTAACTAATTGCGCGCATTGAGCAAGCAATTTGCAAATCTTAGAACTAACCAAACTCCTTCTTCAGATTCTTCTTCTGTTCCAAAGTCAAGTAAAAGCATTGGTCATGAATTGGATGAACAACCTGACCAACATAGAAATAAATGAGCCTCTATCTAAAAATAAGGATAAGAAGAAAGTTAGACAAATTAAATATAACATTACCTCTTCAACCCGAGAGCAATAAGTATGCCTAAATTCTTTGAAGTGCTTCCTTAAATATGCTTTTAACTTTTCAGTATCCTCTCTCCGAAAGATGTCCCAAAGAGCACCACCTGATTCTTTAGAGATAGCACACTTATTTTCTTCTCTGTTGTCTTTGCGTAGTTCTTCGTCAAGGCGAGCTTTACAATCTTTACAGACCCTTTCTTGAGCAAGTTGCTCTTTCTCTCATCTTGGGCCATGTGTGCTTTTTTCAGTTTTGGAATAACAGATTTTTATTCATCACTCAATGTTACCTCAGTTGTGTGGATCAAAATATTCACCTTTGAAAATTATTGAATAATAATTAGAAAAGTAAAGTAAATGTGCACAAAATTTCTAAACAGGGAGATACATTGTGTTCAAGAGAAGCATAATATTTCCATGAGCCATAATCCAGAATTTCACCAAAAGTTCAAATTAAATTAATAAGAAACGCATCATTTTCCTGCAAACCGAATATGATCATCGTCTCATCTTTACACAGTGGGAACTAAACTTTAAGTACCTACCATAGAAAAACAACCTTTAAACTAGGCAAAGTAACAAGGAATGTAAAATTATTAACCATAGGAATGCTCATCTTATATTGGTATAAGAGGCGCAATTAGAAAGATTACTGAAGCACATAGTGAAACATGAAAAAATCTAGGATTTTGGTTTCAATGTACATAAAGAATACAAGTTGTAAGTTGCTTACAGCATCAGACATGTCACAGTGAAGTTTTGTAACTGAATCTCCCCTGCCAAGTTCCTCTGTAATTCCATAAGCAATATATGTCTTTGGACCAAGGTCTGGCTTTAGAACATGGGATGGCAACTTTACAGCAAGGTTGAGGATCCCAGCTCGAGGATCACAATACTCTTGAAATGGCAAGCAGTGGATAAACTCGTCACAATGGCGAGGCAAAAGATCATCAAACTTGTCAGAGGGAGGCCAGTCTTTTAACTTTAGCATCTCTGGCCACAGATTTTTGTATGTTCTTCCTTGGGTATAACCCTTGAAGAATGCACCAGCACTGATTTCTACCTGCCAAGGTTTAGAATAGAATGGTGAATGTTGGTCCAAATCATTGTAATATACATGCAGGAAAAACATTGTCAAATGTTACAATTGATATAAAAAGAAATTGCCAATTGCAGTTCATCATACGTGCATTCGAAAGCACAAGAGAAAAAAACATGATTAATGAAAGTCAATAGTAATTGTTCATTTGGATATTAAAAAATGATTACTTCGTTATTTGAAAATTTTGAAGCATATTGTGGGAAATGTTGGTATCAAATACAAAAAAGAGACAATAGAAGCAAACCTCACAAGAAGAAAGGCAATCAATGGCCTTCAATTCTGTCATATTTGAGCTGCTTCCTGGAACCACATTTTCACTCAGGGCTCGCAATGTGACCATTGGCTCCCAACTAAGACCCGTCCCCTGCTTAAGAACATCACGAACAATGATTGGTTCGCCCTGAGTCCAGTGTTTTTGGAAGAGATGCAGCCCTTTATTTATGAGGTCACTTGAAAATGGACAGTATAAGTTATTATCACTTGTGTCATTTCTAAAAGCTGCTCTTATCTTAGAATTGCAAGTTGATATTGCTTCTTTCTGAAGAGTTGTTTGTTCAGTTTTGCAAAAGGCTTTTAGCAGGTTACGAGCTTTGTCTTCCAAGTCTGATATCCACCCATCTAAAAGAATGCGCTTCAGCTCCATCACAGGGCCACCACAGCCTCCCATTTCTTTTGGTGCACATCTAATACTTCCATCACTATTGGCATTCCATTTGGTAAATATCTTAGCATGACCTCTTGAAGGCTCTAAATTACAAGATACTGGTAATGGATCACCACCATGCATATAATCAAATCCCCATTCACATATTGAAACTTCATTTCAGATCGGGGTGATATACTTCCATTGCGTATTTCTCTGCAACAGTTGAGGCAGATTTCGAAGGAACAATCGGGGCAGCTTCGATAAAGATCAGTAAATGAAGTAGCACAATGGTCATTGCTCCAAGAAAAAAAAAACTTACAAAAATATAGAAGGAATCAAAGTAGTATAATAGGCAAATGGAATAATACGATACCAATAAATACGTTCATTTTCACACTATGTTTGTGGTATCTCAACCTCCGAATATGATTTTCCTGGCAAGAGAGATTATTGTTAGTGATGAATTAAGTTAAATGGAATGAGTTTGTTCTGCATCGATGCTGCTCTTGAGTTTGTTCTTCACAAATTTGTTGCATAAATGGAATGAGCAAGTTAATCATGTAAAGGAGATATTGAACCTTTTCGCTATCTGTGATGCTGCTGCTAGATGTCTGAACACATAAAATTAGATGGGAAAACAAAGAGTTAAAAATCATACTCATAATTCTTATGGTTAACATTTTCAATATGAAAGGAATTGATTTAAGAGTATATCTACCAGACAGAACAGAATACTAACCACAATCATTCCTGTTGAACGCAAACAAACACTGCAATTGCAATTGTTTTGGCAAAAGGGACACTCTTTTGAAATGTCTGCTATTGACAGATTGGGATACCTATGTGCAAAAGGAGAAATAGTTATCATAAACTACATGAACAAATACACACCCTTTCAATGATTATTTAAATATAAACTACTTTACCATTTTCTGATGCACCGCAAACAATACATTCTCCGGCGTTTAGTACAAGGTACGAATACTGCTCTTTCCTTTTTCATGCACTGATGACATTTTCTAAAAGTTTGTTCTGTATCCTGTTAACACTAGTACAATGCCCAATCAAGAAAAAGATATTACGATAAAGTACTTTTTCAGTGAAAGGAAGGAGTAAGGAGTGGGTGAGGCATTTACCTTACGATTATCAATTTTTCTAGCTTTGCTTCGGGAATTTGGGTTTGAAGGAACAACAATTTCATCATCGTCCAAATTGTCAGCCAAGATATCGTCTTCAAATTTTCTTTTCTTCTTCAATGCAGTAAGAAACTTTCCGGGCTCTAGTCCTTTCCTAAGAGGACGATCAGTTGTCCACATTTTATCACTCAAAACGTCTTCTTCCCTTTTAGCCTTTGATTTCATAGTATCGTCTTCTTCAACCGTTCTCCTTCTTGAACTTCCAAAATCTCTGGAACATCTTGGGATTTTGCCTGTAAGATTATCAGTATGTTGGTTTGACCGTTCTCCCAGTACTCCTTTTTCTCTTGATTTTCTACTCTTAAATATGTATGTTCATTTGGTCTCTTTTGAATTCCAAGGGAATTTGCGAGCCTTGAGAACTGCATCTTATCGTCAGTATGATTGTTTGACTTTTCTATTCTTCTAAATACAGTTTTGATTTCAACAGAATCAGATTTTGATTTAAAATCAATTAGGTTCAATTTTTAACATAATACAGTCACAAATCAAATACATGCATATTAACTCAATCTTAAATCTTACAAAACCTTTAGAAATAATCTCTCCATCACCTATCTGGAGTATTATCACTACTGATTTGTAATGGAATATAAAAAGATATCATAGACCGAAAATCTTCACTCTTACTCAATTTTTTTATTTCTATTCAATTTATCCCACTCTTAAATTTTATCATTTTACATAAAACGAAAATAACATAAAAAAAAACTTGGTAATTTACTCTTAATATAAATGAAATAAAAGAATTTCTGAAAAATTAAAATATAATTCAGTGTCAATCTAAAATAAAAATACTTACCTTAGCTTCAATTTTAATACAAAAACGTATAAATCTTGTATATTTTTCTTGGGTGTCATCCGAGTCGTTATTGGGTGGAAAATAAAATCCTTATGACTTCGACTTTATATACTTTCTTGTAAAATGTACCTGCATTTATAAATAGACCAGAATTTTATATATATATATATATATATATATATATATATATATATATTATAAATTAATTTAATAAATAATTTATAAGAGTAAATATTAAAATAATTATTATTTTAGATTAATAAATTATTAAAAAGTAAAGAATGATAGTAAAGAATAAAATTTTTATTTTTATTTTAAAATTAGATAAATATATTATCTTATAATTTATATATTAAATTCTAATATTTTAAATAATAATTAAGTTTAATAATTTAAATTCTAAAAAAAACATTTTTAACCGCTGAACTTCTAACACCCTTAATTACATTTTCTGTGACATTTCTCTCTCATTAACACTCTTAATTACACCTTCTCTTTCATTCTCCTTTCCCCATCTTAAATTACAAATAAAATTTTTATTTTATGAAAATGATAATAATAAATACGGAGACAGGAAGAGGAAGACATGTGTTTTCGCTAATTGAAATAAAACAAATTCAAAAATTGTATGAAATCAATTTTATATGAGAACAGATTTTTATTTTGTTTTTAAAATAACAACAATGCTATAAGATGTATAATATTCTTTTAAATATTTTTTATTTATGTGAAATTAGTTTAATTTTAATTTTGATCTTATATATTATTTTAAAGAAATTAGTTTTATAAAAATTCAAATACTTTTTTAATCTTTCTTAAAATTTAATTCCTATAAATTTAGCATTATTATACTTTATTTTCAATATTTTCAAAAGCTCTTATAGATGATATTTGTATATGTATTAAAATAAATATGTGAATTTTTTAATTATTTTTTATGTTCAAATATTATATTAAATTATACTTAATTACAATAATTAAATTATTTTTAAATTAATAAAATATGAAATATAAATAAAAAATATAAAAATAGAAGTGCTATAAAATTTACTTATTAAAGCAAAACTTATTAAAATTTAATATAATTTTTTTAAAAATTATTTGACATAATTGATCCCAATTAAAATAAAATAAAAAATTAAATGTATTACTTATAAGAAAGAATAATGGAGATGCATTTAATAAATAATATAATTAAATTTATTTTTTAAATATAATTCACAAATTGTTGTAAAAAAAGGTAACAGTTCATAAAAGTTATTATAGTAAACATGAAACTTATTATTTGTAATTTTGAATAATTAAAAAAATGCCTAATATATATTATGTAAAGGTATTATTTATATGTTCATTTTATATTTTAAAATATAAATATTTAATATAAATTTGAATACTTATGTAATTAAATTAAATTTTGTCTTAGATATCGTAAATTATTTTCTGCGTATACATACATCATAATGAGAAAATAAACAAATTCAAGAACAACCTTATTGACTTGCATTGCATTAGTTAAATTAGTTTCTGAAACGTTAACAATAAATTTTCTATTAATAGTTATAAACAATAAAAGTAATTAGCTCTTGATCCAGTTATACTGATATCTTTTCTTTTTTTCTTTTTTTTTTACTTTTTTATTTTATATTTTAATAAAATTTTATTTTCTTCCTCTCAATAATTACTACAACAATTTTAATTTATTCGATTCCTTTTAAAATTACAGTATTTATATTAATTATTACTCTGATTATATTATTTACTTTAATTTCAATAAAATCATTCACCTTGAAAATATAATTTAAAATCAATTAAATATCCTCAAATTTATCAAAATTTTTTTAAATACTTTTCCTGAATACTTTCAATTAAAAATACCCTCCATATGTAAGAATCTATAATTGGAATAATTAACTAATGTTTTGTTTGAATGATATGAAAAAAAAATAGAGAAAAAAATGAAATAAAAAGAAGAGTAATAAATAAAGTGCAAGTGAGTGCTTCACTTTCTGATGTGTCTCTCACATTTAAAATTTTCTTATTTTGAATTACGGTAAATATTATTTCATAATTCTAAAAGAGAACTGCATATAGTTTATTACGCAAATATTATTTTCTTAAAAAAAAAAAAAAACTCCTAATATTTTTATTCTTCATTTCTCTCCTTAGTTAATTCCCTACACTTTCCTAAATGTTTCATCCTTTCTTATTCAAACTATTTTTTTTATCCTATCAGGTGCATGCTCTAATTCATCGTAATCGTTTGACTATTTTACGGATTTTTTTTTTTTCTGATTCCATAGAAATAAATGATCCTTATCTTTTTTTATAAACCTTATATATTAAATTGCATATTATTTTTTATTATTATTATTTGAATTTGGCATGTTTAGCTTTCAAAAAGGAAATTGGTAAGATATGTAACTATTATTTACAAATTAACAGTTAGAAATATTGAGAAATGGGGATTCTGTGTGTAAATCCTGACAAAGGAAGTTGGTGAGGGTGCTACCTTCCAGACATAAGGTGCACTAAAGCTTGGTTTTCATAGAAGGAGCCAACATCCCAATCTTCAGTTGCAGATGAAAGTGTCATTAAAGCAACTACAATTGATCTCATGCTTGGCCTAAGTTGAGGGTTTTCATGTGTACATGCTTTCGCAAGCTGAGACACCTGCAAGTTACCAAAATAATAAGAGTTTATCGCTGATTGTGATACATTTTATACATTAAAAATTTTGTTTAATATAACATTCATTGATTTTCAGTTTAGATTTGATAACATTGTATTCACTGGTCCTTTTTATCATTGCATTTAAAGAGACAAAGAATTAACTTACATTATCATTGTAAAACTTTACACTGACTTTTAGAGAATAAATACAAAAATAAATATCTTTTATGATTTGAAATTTAATAATAATCTAAAATACTTTTAGATTGTGGATGCAAATTAGTTACCTTAAATATTGAGTCAAGAGGGTATTTGTCACTAAGTCTAGGGTCAACAAGTTGACGAAGATCTTCTTTTGGATCTGACAGACCAAGAACTTCTTCAAACTGCATTTCATATTTCAGGTTAAATTTAGTAAAGAAATATATAAGTGATGGGTTACAACTATTGCTGAGTTAAGAGGGGCATGGAAAAACAACCAAGGCGACTAGTCCTTTTGATTCGTTCTCGGGATCGTTTGTCTTGACGATAGCTTCTTTGCCTGATATGAGTTCATAGAGAACAACTCCAAAAGCATATACATCTACTTTGGAGGAAACATCACCATACTGTGCATATCTACACCAAGATTATACACTTGGTCAAAATGGTAACGGTGTTATTGAACCTCAACTGAATAAAACTATGGACACTTACTAGTACTAGGATAGGATAATACATGTTGTGTATAGTTACATGCATGTATAAAATGTTAGAAATCAGTCCAAAAATTGGAGATCCAAAGTAATACAGAGAAGTTGTATAATGGGTAAATTTTTTGTGCTATAAAATATGCTGATCAAATCAAACGATAAAATAAGTAATAATAATAGCCTGTGGGGTTGGTGAAATTAAATGCTCTATAGAATGAAGTTTCCCTAACATTTTCAAACTCAGATGCACACGAAAAATATGAAATGAAAGAAACAGAACATAATTATAAATGCTGCTACTGATACAAAAATAGCTTCAAACTTAGTATAAATTGAAGTTAAGGATAAGTAGTTCCTTACTCTGGAGGCATATAGCCAAAGGTTCCCACAAGACGCGTTTGTAATGAAGAACTACCATACTCCGTCAATTTTGTGAGACCAAAATCTGCAACCTGTGGGAAAAACTTCGGACTCAGCATTCAACTTTTTTATGTACGAAAAATCTAGAAAAGCATTTGCAAACCTTTGCACGAAAGTTTTTGTCTATCAAAATGTTTGCTGATTTAATATCTCTATGGATGTAGACAGGAACTGTATGCTCATGGATGTATTCCAATCCTCTTGCTGCATCAAGGGCAATTTGAACTCTAGCTCCCCATGTTAACGGATCCCTCCCTACAAACCAACAATATTCAGACCCTTGAAATCAAAATGATGCCATCATTTTATGATCAAGTATTTATAAGTGAGTAAAGACAAAAGAAAAGAAAAACCTGAGCCTCGCAAATGTTGTCTTAAATTGCCGTTCTCAATATACTCATAAACCAAAAATAAGGAGCCCTCAACACAATATCCTATTAACCGCACCTGTATAGAATATATTTGCAAGATGTATTGTGGAACTGAGTAGTGAAATATATTTAAATATAAGGAAACATTAGGTAACTTGTTAGTTAGAAGTTCAACAATAGGGGAAAAAGAAAATATGATAGAATGAACAACTACACCACCCTTGAGTTTCTTTTTTTTTTTTTTTGTGGGGGGTTATAACTGTACATTGTGTAAGGTAAAAATATTGAATATCAGAGTAGGGAAAATGTCATATACCAAGTTCAAGTGATGGACATGCGTTAGAACCTTTAGTTCTGCAAGGAATTCATTTGATGCTTGCATATCCATCTTTTTAATTGCAGCTTTCTGCAAAAAGGAAAAAAATGTAGTGTTGGTAATAACATGACTCTTCCATTTCTTACGACAGATCAGTCTTAGACCTGTATGATCAGACTTTGACTAAATAGGATCCAATACAATAGATAAGTATATGTTAAGTTTAAAGCAAATACTCTGTAATGCAAGAAAACAATGGTATGTAATTAGCAGTAACTTCTTGGTTTCAAAATAAGATCATGTTTTGCTTATATTACTACACATTTCTTATTAGTGCTCATTTTAAAAGTGAGTTTAAACATCTTGACAAACCTCATTCCGAAGTTCAGCATAGTAAACAGATCCAAAGCCACCTTGACCAATTATATTAGCCACACTAAAGCCATCAGTGGCCTTGTCTAGTTCCTCATATGAGAACTCCACTGACTTGTCCACTGTAATCCCAGTCATCCTTGGAGAAGCAACAACTGAAGATTCCGATGCCTTGTCCAAGATGCTTCCAGAACCTAAATTCATGGTACAGATAAGATCTATAGTTTCACATTTAATTTAAAAAAAAAAAAAAAAAAACTGAAATCAATATAAAGATTTTTCCATTATTAACTTGTTAGATGTCACCCTTCTTGCAATTTTTAAAGTAATTATTAACAAAGGTCAATAATCTTACTATACGTGGTAGTCAATTATTGGATAGCAGTGTATCAATAAGTAACTATAAACTTCACTATGCATTCAAACACCAAGCTCATGGAGAAAAGGGAAAGAGATATGATACTAGATCATGCATCATGGTTAAGAACAGTTTGCATCTAGCTATATATATATATATGCACGATAATTGATAAAATAAGAAAGGGGTGTTTTAGAAATAGCATTGAAACAAAAGACATACCAATACCATGACACAGTGGACTACACTGATCTTCAGATGCTCCTGGAACTGGGAGATGGGATACCTCAGCCTCAGCCACTTTCCTTCTTCTGTGTAGTCCAACATATAGAAGAAGTGCCAAAATTAGGACCCCAACAGCTCCTCCAACAGCTATGCTAGCAATGGCTCCGCTAGATATTCCTAGTTAAATTTGTTTAACAATGTCAGCATCTCATAGGAATTTAACTCACCATGATTTATGAAGCAGCAGTTTGCACAATGTCCACATCACCTGATCTGCAAAAGTTTGGAAGAAACAGGTACAGGTTCTGGAGTTAGACAGATCAAGTGATATTATTTTAAAAAGTGTAAAAGCTCTAATCAAATTGGCCAACATAGCATTAGGATATGTAGTAAACTTGACATAAAATTCAACTTACTTCAGCTGCATAGGTGGAAAGTTTGCATTTTCATCTGCAAAATAGGATTTACAATATAAAGCATCAGAAGGAAAATTGTATCAAATATTAATTCTAAAAGAATTGAGAGACGCTGAATTCATTGATGTGGTGTCTTCTTCAAATGCCTTTGTCTCAAATTTGGGTTGTCAAACGACCAGTTGCCACACATTCATTGTCTATTAATTCCTCAAAAGTGTACATAATATTGGATAATGATTATTGTATTTAATATGCTTTCATACAATAATTCACACATCAATTTTCTGTGGGAGATATTAGTCTTGCATGGTGAGCCTTTTGTGATATGACAATGTTTATATTTGCCAAATGTACTCTCATTCTTTTTTATACTTTTCTCATACAAGCAATTTAAATATATATAAAGTCATATTAAAAGAAGACTAGATATCGTGCATTGATTTAAACATTAATTAATTAAAATTTATTTTATGTGAGTATATAAGCATGAGAAAAATTGTCGAAGCACCATGAAACTCATTGCTTATTTATTACTTATTCTACTACTAGAATAAGAAATTCATTTTATTTTTATTTATTATGAGCTTTTTATTAAGAAAGATACTTTCTTCGTTTTATATACTGTGTTATACTTATTTGGGGGTAACCCAATTTTTGTCCAAATTAATTATGGCAACCCCCTTACTTATATCCAAATTAATTAATTTTTGTCACTTAATTTGGAATTTATCTGGGACAATTCATAAAGGATTGTTGTAAACAAATAATTGTGTACACAATCCATAAGAAAGTGACAAACTTTATTGCATGGATGACCTATGCTATTTGTTTGTATCAAGGAAATTATATTGAAGATATAAATAATTCTCAAAGTTTTACTGTATCTGGCTAATAGTGGTTATTGGTCATGCATGGATGAACAAAGCAAGTGATAATATGTGAACAAAATGTGATCTGTATCATTTTGTTTTATAGCCAGAGGACTAATCATCCTTAATAAAATATATATTTCCTCCATCTTTTTGTTTCTGTGGTTAGTAGCTGTCAAGATTGATGCTTCCAAATTTGGACAGAATATTCCCAATCTATTCTTATAAGCTGTTTTTTTTATTTTTCTTAGCAAAAACTTTACTATTCCTCAGACAAAGAAAAAAAAAAAAAAAGAAGAAAGAACTCGCTATTCAAAACTGTTAGTGTTGACCCAGTCCTTGTTTTTATAAATAATTAGCAAAATGTGATTATGAAATTAGATATGGAAAATGGCGGAACGCATAATACCACCTATTCCTATTTTTTTACCTCATTCTTTTTAAAGATACTAAAATTGTAAAAAGAATCTGAAATAAGAAAAATTGGACGCAATTATTGATTTCTACTATCTGGATTACGCTGATTGTACGATCATCTTTTATAAAAAAACGTTAATGGTGATTGGATTGATGATAAAATAGAACTCTGGGTCTCGAACATTCGATTGATGATAAAGAAAAAGAATTCTTGATTCAGTTTTCTACCTTAACAACAGAAAAAAGGATTGATCAAATTCTATTGAGTCTTATTCATAGTGATCTTTTATCAAATAATAACTCTCGTTATCAAATAAGTGAACAACCGGGAACAATTTACTTACGATACTTAGTTGACATTCATAAAAAGTATCTAATGATTTATGAATTCAATACATCCTATCATATAACCCAATTGAGACATTGTGGAATAGGCCAAATTTTTTTTAATATCTTTTTGAGCAATAGCTAAGGTAGCTCCTGAGATTACTGTTATAATACTGATAAAAGCTATTGCGTTCATTATTTCGGGTAGAATTACGAAAAGAGGAAGAAGTCGAGCCACAAGAAAAATTCCCGCGGCTACCATAGTAGCAGCATGTATAAGGGCGGAAATGGGGGTAGGTCCCTCCATAGCATCGGGTAGCCATACATGAAGAGGAAATTGGGCGGATTTAGCAACTGATCCACAAAATAGCAAGAGGGCAAACAGAGTAACAAAAAAAAGATTAATTTCATTTTTTAAAATCAAGTTATTTATGATTGGAAACAAATCCCGAAATTCTAAACTACCCGTTATCCAATAAAGACCTAAAATTCCCAATAATAAACCAAAATCCCCTACACGATTAGTTACAAATGCTTTTTGACAAGCATTTGCCGCAATAGGGCGGGTAAACCAAAAGCCTATTAATAAATAAGAACACATTCCAATTAATTCCCAAAAAAAATAAATTTGTATGAAATTCGAACTAGTAACTAATCCCAACATTGAAATATTAAAAAGAATCATATAACCAAAAAATCTCAAATATCCTTGATCATGAGACATATAGTTATCACTATAAATAAGAATCAGAAAGCTAATAAGTTAGCCTCAAACTAGACTTATTAGAAGTGTTGCACATTAAAAAAAATTATGCAAAAATATAAATGTATAAATATAAAACTATTATGTAAGTATAAAAGTTCAATAAAAATTACTATATATATATATAACAATTTATACAAAATTATATTATAAATACATTTAAAATTAATGGTTCACATTATTTTCTTCAAAAGCATTTACCTTTATTTTAATATGGATAAAGATAAATTGAAAATCTATTATCAGTAAATATTCATTCAACAACTTTATTTATTAATAAAATAGTAAATTTTAATTAATTTTTATAAATATAATATTAATAAACAAAATTATATAAAAGATAATTTTTTTAATATTATAAACTATCTTAAATATTAGTTTTTATATTAAAAAATAATAATAAACTTGTTCTTTGTTAATTACCTTTGGCCGGCACGAAGACGAGTCCATTTCCAGCATTGAAATTGGAGGCGGGGTTGTACCGTGTCAGCAGCTCCGCCGGCACACCGGATTTCGCCGCAAGCCCCTGCAAGTCATCACCCACCCGAAGCGGGTACGTCAAGAACAGTCCATACTCCTTGGACACATGTCGGTTTCCGCAGGAGCAGTTGACGGTGACGTTGATGTTGACATTCTCAGGAATCTCATAGGATATGTAACTGTTCACCTTGCTCAGCCAATCCTCCGTGGTGAGGTTCGAGAAATGAATCGCCGCAACTATCTTGTACGTGTCCCCGCGTTGGATCTTGTACGTGAAAGTGTGCCCCAAAAACTCACTGTTTAAGCATTCACACGAGAACGGCACGTTGATCCGCGTTTGGCTGTGAATCGCGTCGGGGTTTGTCACGCTTGGGTTGTACTTCAGAATCTCCGATGTGGGCTTTCCAAAAAGAGTGCTAATGTAAGTGAGGGTCGTGCCTTCCGGTAAGCAGTACGAAGCTAGAGCCAGGTCGCAACCAGAATCACACTTATTACCTTTAACTCTTATGAAAATTAACAACTGAATAAAGAGAAGGAAAAGATGGTGTCGTTTTTGTTTTGTGGTTGAGTGTGTGGTCATTTTTGTGTACTAGGGGTTAGAGGAATTAAGAGGTTGAAAACTTGTTATTGATTAGAGTTCACTTGCACATGAGGTTTAGGAGCTTATTTTATGTGCAGTTTCGTTGATTCGTTTTATTATTGTATATGGCACCGATCAATGTTATTGACGTCAAAGTTGTGATCGAAACTGTGATGGTTGAACGAGTCTTCCTTTTGTTATTGTTAATGGTGGTGATGGTGTTTTTCTAATAATTTTGGGATGCTTGCAATGGATGCTTAATTTAAAATTTGGAGAATACGTGAAGAATGTAACTTCCAATTACGCTTCAGATGAAAAGGCGATGAGAGCGACTCCAAATGGGCGAGTCTTGGAGTTTTAAAGGTTAAATTAAACTATAAATTATAATTTGAGGAATTATACGTCACTTTTCAATTTTCATAATGAAATATTTGTACAAGTTTTTATTTTAAATCCAATTTTGTTTTTATTGTACTTTTTTCTTCTCCAAAAGCATCTTTTCTACAGGCAAACTTGTATGAAGTGTTTTTGGACATTGCCACAAGATTTGAATCTTGATTATAAAAAAAAAAACTTTTTCTTTTGTTTTCCGTTGAATAAGTTAGTTTAGAAACTATGTATGGAGTAAGAAAATGAAGGATTATTAAGATCTCAAATTCAACATTTGTCGCACGTTCCTGATTTGCTTCCCCAGATAAACATCTAGTAAACTATTATTCAAATTTTCTAAATCTTTACTTTCTTTTTATCTATTAAACATTAGTTAAAATAATATTTTCTTATATAATTGTGAACCATTAATTATTATTATTATTATTTTATTCTTGCTTTTTCCGATCTCTGTTCCTTTTACATCATCACATTATTTCTTCAGATAATATAATACTTTGATAAGTCAATATCTTTACGAAAGCTCATGAAAAGGAAAAACAGTTCAGGGGGACTCTTCGGAAACGTAAAATTTTGAATGTTCTATAGCTTGTAAGCACAATATTTAATATTACGAGATTATTTAACAATATGATGGTTTGTTGGTTTCTTTTTTTGTTATTTATGCCAAGTATTAATTTTTTGGTGAGAAGAGATTATTTAAATTAACTATAATAATATTCAATTATTAATAAGGAATGATAATTTAAAAGTAAAAGATATCAGATGTAGTCTTTTGAAGTGCAGGAAGATATTTGAGATGAGAATTGAAGAACAATATTTTCCAATATAGTTTGACAAAGAAAATAGGCCTAGAAAGGATATTTTCAAGAAATAAATAGAACTTTGTTTGATATGTAGGAATAACAACAATTGTGTCTCTTGTATATTCAGATTTCTTTTATTTATTTTCTTACATTTTGTAATCAGATTTATATTCTTTGAAATGATGGGAGAAAAAGTTGAATACTGAAAAGGGAGAAGTTTCTTCAATTCGGAGATAATGGTGGGTTCCACCATGGATGTAAAGGTTCTCACTTAATTTTCCATGTAAGCTCAAAGATATTTCTCTACGTGGATTGAAGCATGTAGATATTTTTGGCTCAGCAGAGACGATAACCCCCCCCCCCCCCATTGTATTCACATGCTTAAATTGTCATCATAGAAATTAAGGTATTTCTTCAAAATACACAACACAAATTAACATTGTTAGTTATGGAATCCTCTGCAACTCTATCTCTTTCTCAGCTTGCTTATGTGTACCCTGCAACACCCAGAAGCAACAAAGCTTATCCCTTTTGGCCTTGCAAGCGAAGAAGCTCACAGCCAACACGCTTACACTGCAACAAGATGTATGTACCAGGTAATTGGTTCGGTTTCTTTTCTACTTTGTTCCTCCTCTCCGATATGCTAAAAGAATTAGCATTAACCTCAAAATATTAGCAATGAAAAGGAATTTTTGACGCTGATACATTTATTTGTGACCAAATTAGTATTATATGTAATGGGGTTGTGTTATATCGACTGGGATGCAGGATTCGGAGAAGCATCACCGGAAGCGAAGGCGGCTAAAAACCTCCACAACTTCTTCACCTATGTTGCAGTGAAGATTGTTGCTGCTCAACTTGAGGTTCCTTCTCCTTATTGGCTTTGTTGTCATTCGTTAGATGCTCGCTTGTATTGATTCTAAGTACTGTCATTCAAACAATTATCTTAAGAAATTTAGTCCCATGGTACTTCCTCTTAATAGAGTATTATTCTGTATATTTAACTCTCAAATTCGTACAATTTTACACTGTACAAGCAAGTTTGATATTTGAACGCTTCAAACATCTTTTGCCAAAGAGCTTTCACATTCTTAATACAATCACTTATTCACGCAGCTCACTCTTTGAACCTTTCTTTAAGACAATCCTTTTATTATTGGAAGAAATTTTTGTGAATTTATATTTATAGAGATTTAGACCTCCAAAATTGTCAATGTGATCGAAGGATTAAAATATTAATAATAATTTGTCATTGAATTTACTTTGATGCACGTTGTTCAACTTTATTCAGTTTTTTTTTTCTAATTTAATATTTTTCTATTAGTTAACTAATGCTTTTTTCTCTCTGACAATATCATCTGAGAAATAATTATTTCCCCGAGCAGAGCTACAATCCTGAAGCATATGAGGAGCTGATTGAATTTCTTGGTAGACACTCGTTGAATGATGGTGACAAGTTCTGTGCCAGCATGTTCAGAGAATCATCAAGACATAAGAACTTAGGTAACGACTATTCTCAGGTTACTAAATCCTCAATCAGTATCTGATTAGATCTAACTAGTAACTCTTTTGTGTATTGTTATCGAATGAACTAAACATCCGAACTAATTATGGGTGGCGCTGGCATGTACATGATGAATAGCCCTACGCATAATGGAGGTAAATAGATTTCTTTTATTATGTGATTTTCCATCACCTGTTAAGGAGTTCTGATTAAATACAACGAACCATGATTATAGGTGAGATCAGCATACTGCAAAAATGATTTTGAATGGGACAACTTGAAGCGCCTAGCTTTCAAGGTTTGTAATTCAATAACGTTTTCTTATATCCGGACGTTGACCCTGCAGAAATTTATTCAACTTCCTATATAATTGAATAATGTTAATAATTCTGCCCTTATTGCCTTGTAGATGGTCACAGAATCTAACACGAGGCTCATGACGGAATATGTTTTAGAAACCAGTCATGTTGAAAGCGAGAAGTGAATAGCGTTGCACCTAAGCATTTGCCCCTTCATGCCCTCTGATCAAACAGGAACTAGGGCAATGTACCTCTATGTATATGTACAGAATGAACTCATCCACATGGTTATCGAAAATTTTTATACTCCAGTATTAGCAAGTTTATGATTAAGAAAACTGTTAGATCATTAAATGGTTAGGCAAATTCCTGATACAAATTGATAAGCAACATATGATATTGTTAAACCTTCCATGACTAAGATTGTGTTTTAAAGCTTCAAAACTTTAAAGTCACATTTATCGTCTGGAATGTCTGAAATCCCTTTCAATGGAAGGCAAATCATTTATACAAAAGCACACTTACTAGGATACCTGGGAGCACCACTCATTACAAATAAGTAATATAAAATATCATATATTTCAAAACAAATATTGGTGCTGTTTTAAGGCTTGTTCTAAAGACAACTTTGCCGGATTTGGGCGTAATCAATTCTCCTTTACATCTGAAAGTGAAAACACTGTCCAACGACAAAACAGACAAGAAACAAGCATTACGTTCAATCCTCAATGTTCAAGGAAAGAGGTTCTATATGACAGTTTACAGTTTACATTTCATGATCTCCAACCAACACAGCTAAACTCCAGAAGCAGCATCCCTTTTCATCACTAAGTTATAAGGTTTGTTGTCAGTATAGTAACTACAAATATCATATCAGATGTATAGATTGAGTACCAAGCATGGGCTATTCAATATAACTTTTCTACTTTGCACCTCTCGTGCAAGAGTATCCCCTCTAATCTTTTGACCAAATAAAGTAGGGCAGTTAGCAAGCTGTTTCCTACCCCATTTTGCCAAATAATTGGATGGCAACCCAATCACTTGTCTTCTGTTCTCCGAGCCGCATTACTTAACAATTAAAGATACAAACATCCTCAGATTTAGACTTCGACCCATTTGTCCTATAGTTTTGATAAAACCTTCCATTATGCTCCAATCAAGCAGACTTCACAATTACTTGTCGCTCTGGCCGCAAATGACAGTAAAGAGGTTGAGAGAGAGAAAGGTAAAGTTTAGTATCAATAAGGTTGTCCCTGCCGACGAGCTTTGTTTCAAAGCATATGCACATATGATATTGTTGAAAATATGTTGAAGTTTATCTTCTACCAAATTAGAACTGACATTAGGCATTTTCCACTACATCGACATAGCGATGTAGATCATTTGAGGCATGAATTTCACCATTGCTGAAATATGAATGGGCATATTCTTCTATGTGATCCAACCTGCAAAATTACGTGTCATTAGCAGCACATACTTGAAATTTGATCAACTAAACTGAAATTTAAAATTGATCAAACCCATACATATTAATAATACTAGTAACCCTCAAAAGCATGAAATGACAAGTACAGTCATTGCTCCTTTCATGTTGGTACGATTTCCTAACTTCACTAACAGAACCAAAACGGAGTAAGATGAAGTTTCATCTTACCAAACAAGATTTGATTGAACGACCAAAAGGGCCCGCAATGTAAATTGACACTGTAAGTGTAAATGCTCTATGAACAGAACAACCTCTAGAGGCTATTTACCTATACACATAGTTCACCATGATTCCTCCACTTTGAGAGAGACCTTTTTCTGATCGATCAGCCATCCAGTTTATTCTTTCAACCATCTGTCCATATTGAGAAGCAAAACTTTATTCACACCAATTTACTCAAATTACAACTGTAGGTTATTTGTGGTAACATAGATTTGATACATACATGAAAGCACCATTTTTATCACATTGATTATATAGAAAGAAATACCAATAAACAACAATGTCTTCAGCTATAAGAAAACTACTGCTTTCAGATGTTTATTGTCTCTACATTGTGGTTGCAAGACATACCGCTCCATTTTGCAAGTGAAAATTTGCTACAGAGTCCAAAGCTTTTCCTCTTTTCTTCTCTTGTAGAAGGTACCTGTGATATCAAAAGAACCCCAAATTCTTTCGGATTACTTTCCCTTGACTTATACATTACAAGTACAGCAAGCAGCTTTAGCTCAACACGATCTTTCAAAGAAGTCATTTCTAACATGGGTTTTTTTATTTCCCATAATAAGTTTCCAATATTCCAATACCTGGCACATAAACGCATCAAAGGGGTTTTTAACGCTGACAGATGTTCTGGAGAATGGATCCACTTAGAGGATGTAGAAGTAAGCAAGTTGAACATCAAATCCATTCCATTTTTTCCCGTGGCAGTATCCCTGCATTTCATATTGATATTAGTCACATGATAGTACCCAGAGCAAAGTAGGGGGGAAAAAAAGATAAGAAAGAAAAGCAAAAAAGTAGAGGAAAAAAAAAACTGAACCACTGAATGTTGCAGTTCGTATCAATGATATGGAATCACAACAGGTCACGCAAGTATCGAATGTTTCAACGTCACTTTCTGATTCATCAGACCATATTATGAACTTGCCAAATCATACTATATTTAATAGTGAATTCAGAATCTTGAACCATGCATTTCTAACTGTGCATATAATTTCTACTTTTGCTTCAACACATAGCTAACCGATTGGTATCAGAGAATTTCAGCTTTGATGCCTCTTTCATTTTATTTTCCCAAATAAATAATACAAGGTTATTTAGAACCATAAACTATAGATATTCTCTTCCCTAACTATCTACTCTAATAAAATTGGGCTCACAATAAAGGAGAAAAAAGAAAGGCCAAAAACGTAATGCAGCTATTATTAGGATAGTTTACTTGATAATATATGAATTTGCGATAGTGTTGCCAAAAATATCCAAGAATATCGTAATATAAAATATGAAGATAGAACAGTATGCATCTTACTTAGCTAAACTCATAAGTGCTTCTTCTTCCTCAGGTTTAAGTATATTTTCGTAGAAAGTAGAACTAGATCCCTCTGCTTGTGGTTGAGACAGATTGTCTCCTTCTGCTAGTACCTGAGATGCTGCTAACTTGGACAAAAGCCATGACATGAATCCCGGGATGGGACTCAAAGTTGCAAATGTCTACAGCCAAAAAATTATCATTAATCTTAGATGTGGGAGGCCATAAGTAAGATATAAAAGTATCCTAAGAAAAATGACATTTACCAAGAAAATTTCATAACACCTGTGCCCAATAACTACTGGAATTAAGCATATTACTTTTAGATTTAATAGAATGAAGGAAGATATCAATTTGGGACAATTGTCTTTTCGGCAAATTGCCATGTGACTGAAGTTTTATGGTGCTTTTGAGAATAATGACTCCAGAAATCTACATCTTTCAGAGGAGAGGAAAGATTTAGAACCCCCAGGATTTAAAGAATAAAACCATAAAGTTGTACTTATTTATAAACTTGGAAAACCTACCAATCAAATGTGAAGACTTTAAGGGAAGACAAAATGTTTTGTTTGGCCATTCCCATTCATATCAAAACCATGAAATAAAAGGTATGAAACTGAGATTAAAAATTAAAAATAAATTGATGGAACTATGTTCATTAATTCAGTCATAAAGCCCCTAAAATACTTACAGATATATGTGGCATCTCTCTTTTCACCTGTGTTACAACTCGCTTGATAAGAAATTTTCCTAAGTTGATCCCTGCTAAGCCAGGCTGCAAATTATACCATATCAGATATAAAACTATCTCCATCATTATTCTTCTTCAGGGAGTCAGAAGGGGGACAAAGAGACGATGATATAAACAGAAAAGCAAACATATCAAAGGTACAAACATGAATAAATATCGAACAGAGAAGAGAATGGGAAAATTAAGCAAATTGTATCACTTATTCCGGTCAGAGAAAAAGCCAAAAATAAACAGCTCACTTTTCACTAAGAATGATTGTGCTGAACTTCATATGATATATAATTACATAATTAACAATTTGTAGATATATAGTCAAATCTCCACTAGCCATAACTTTGATTATACAGAGCATACCTGAGTTGAAGATATAGAGTAGAACAAGGCACATGTTGCCTCGCTTTCAGGTATTGGAGGACTGTCCCACAAAACTTCCTGTTAAATAAATAAATACTGTTTAAAAGAAGATACTGAAAAAGGGTTTGGTACAGTTGAATTTAAATAGCATTAACCTGTATTGTCTGAGCAACATCCTTCAGTAGTGCAACTTCAATGAAAATTAGGGGTTCACCTGAGGAATATATAAAAGAAGACCACATAACGTAGTTTAACAGACTTGAAACTTAAAGAATAGATTTCATGACATGAGACAAGTTATTGAATTGTGAGTAAAAGCACTCAGCAACCTTGATATTATAAGAATAAATTATTTCTGCATTTTCAATAATAATAATAATAATAATACCATCATAATAGTAATAAAGAACTAAACCATTTCCTTTGACTATCGTACCAATGATACATTAACTCCTATAATTTCCAATGACATTAATCACAATCAGTATTTTCAAACCACATATTTGAGAACAGGTAAACTAACTACGATATTTTAAAGCAATTATATGGACCGGATCACGTAGGGTCAAATCAATCATGTGCGAAGTGTAGACTGCAGAAAGTACTATCACCAAATTTAATTTTAAGTTACTTGGCAGGAGAATAATGAAATTCCAACTGTATTGCCAACTTAATACGATCACTAGAAAGCATTTTGACATTACTAACTTTTTGAGCTCATACAAACTCATAATAATGAATAGAGGTGAAACCAATGACCGTTAGGATGTGGATTGACGCACCAGAGTAAATTATAAAACTGAGAGGTAGAGAATTATCTTTCAGTAAAGGGTTAGAGGAACTTCTGACCAGGAATAGCGGGATGTAAATATCCAAAACAACGACGGCCAATTCCCAGCCTTCTCTTAAGATCTAGAAGGTTGCTAATAGGGTGCACAGCCTGCACAAGATATCAAATATTATGCATATAGTGGAAGACCAGAGCTACATTGAATGACAATTGAAGAAAAAAGGAGAAAAGTACTTCATAAGCAACAATTTTCTCCAGCAAAGAAGCAGGATCATCCCATGTAATCTGGTGAAGCTCTAAGGCAGCAGGACTAAGCCATGTAATAAATTTTTCCTTTAAATAAGCATCCAATGCTCTCAGAGATGCAATATTTTCCTCTCTGTAATGGAAGAATTGAATCATCATACTCCAAATTTCAGGAAAGCAAGTTTAACCCTTGTTCTTATTTTTGTCTTTTCTTTTTTTCTTCATTTCCCCCAGGAATATAATGAACTGTAGGTATCTAAAACTCATACTTACATAAAATTATTTATTGAAGGTTCTCATAGAAAAAAATTCCTTTTGCAGATGATTGTAACTAAATTTTAAAGAGGAAAGAAGGAATTAAGATTTCTTTTATTTGCTCCTTCTGTCATTGCAAGATAAAACAATTAAAGGAAAAAGATATAGTCGAAAAATTGTTCAAAATAAAATTGTGTAGCATCAGCCATAAACTTACGCAAGAATAGTTAGGATATCGTCTCGAAGAATGGACAAGATCCTCAATCCTCCAGGATGAGTGTTGAGACGCTCAAAGAGAACTTCGTAAACTGGCTGAAGGGCATGCCTCAAATTCTTCTCGATGCGATAGAAAGAAGAAAACAAGGCTTCATCTTCCGAGCCACTCACTTGAGCTTTGTCTGCCAACCCAATCACTTTTCTTTCACAAGACAGATTTGAAAGCAATAATGAAAAGAATTACAAACATGCGTGCATGCACACATACACACGCCCACACCATATAATAACTCACCAGCAGGTAGTTCAAGTCCAAGGTATTGCTTTATGAGGTCACGCACTTGTGATCGATTCAGATCATACTCCCTGGCAAGGACAAGGAGCAACTTGCGACGGTTTTCATGAGAAAGACTAAAATAACCCTACATCATCACCAGCTTATGGAAATGAAATAAGCAGTGACAACAAAAGAATCGAATTAAGAAAGTTTCACGCATTAATTAAAATCTAAAATTAGACTACCTCGGAGAAGTTATTAAGCACATCATCCAGAACTTCTGTTTTGTTCATTGATATAGCAGAGTGCATTGAAGCACGGACACGCTTAAACTCTCTGCAAATAAGGCCAAACAACACAAAATAACAGAGAAAGGAAATGAGCAAAAAAGAGCAAGCAAAATCCAATTCCAAGTATGTGAAACAAAAAAAAATTAGGAACCTCTCGGAGTTGCCGGAATCATTAGGCGCCGAATTTCCTTCACCTGGAGATTCGTTTTGGCGGGAATTCTGCTGCTGCATTTGACTCTTCGCGTTCTGTTCAGTATTTATCGCAATCGAAACAACCAAAAGTCAACAAGATTCAAATTCAAAGCTAGTTCACGTACAGAAAATAGTATCCAATTGATTGAAAAATCGAATAAAAAGAATCAGTAGAAACTGAAAGGAACGGAAAAGAACTGTAAGTGCGAGATTATTACTCACAGTTAGAGGAATGGGAGAGAGAGAAAGGTTTGTACGATCGTTGGGCTTCATTCTGGCGCGCATCAAAATGGACAAAGCTTTTCTGCTCATTTTATTATTATTATTATTTTCCTATTTATCGGGTAAAAGAATGTGCGTTCGACAATCGAAATCAACAACTGGTGTGGTGAATGAACTCTGCTTTCTGCTTTTGGATCGTGCGTTCCATCGCTGTTTGGCAACAACCCCTACTAATTTTTGTTTCTACGTTCTGATTCGGAGCGAGTAAGCGCGTTGCTTGCAAGCCACAAAAATATTTTTCATTCACTTTTAAGGTCAACGTCTGAGGCTTGTCCACGTAGATTTCCACGTTTTGACCCAATTCTTGTTTTGGGCTTCATGACCCAAAATGTTAACTTATTGGACTCCAGTTTTGGGTCAGTTGAATTGGACTTTATCCAATACAAGAAAAATGTCAAGCTTGTACGGAAATAAGGAACAATTGAAACATGTGGAGTATATAGCCTTGTGTCATTATTCCTCCATAGGCTTATTTTGATACTTGACCAAGTTTCTATGTTGTTTTGTAATGAACCATTCGTTGCAAATGATTTCCTTCCGTCTTAATAAATGCTAAAGCAAAATTCCCAAAGAGATTAAAAAGAAAAATGGAACCTGGGAAGCATAAACATTACCCGCCAGAAAGATTTAAAAGTCCAAAACAAATGTAGTCAGTAATGTATCTTTTCTTTATGGAGAAAAGAACAAAAGGTTTACATGGTATGGGCAAAACTTTCTCTCTTTTGTCTTCAGTGGTTGTTTAGTATGTTTACCCCCATCATCCAACTAACGCGTTTAAAATTTGCAAGTTGGAATATGAATCTTTTCTCTCAAAATAAAGCAGTATTTACTTTAAAAACTGAGAAGAAGAAAAGAGGGCCTAAGCACTAAAAACAACTAAACCATCGTTAAGCAATAACTTGACTAGAGCACGAGGGGGCTAGATGAACATGTTACATGATATGTTCTTTATTAACAAATTTCGAACACGTTCCTCTCTATCTCTGGGATCAAACATCGAAGTAGAGAGTCAATCACAGATTGCGGTGCAAGCAACATTCACGCCAGAGGAGATCTAGGTCAACGTGTTGGATCTACATTTAATGCCAACAACCTAAAATTTCAGACCAAAGACCAAGGCAAGTTCAGTAATCACATATTGAAACTCCATACTATATACTAATCACCCGCACCACCATTAATGACTTCTCAAACACAAAAAGAGGGAGTTAAAAGAGTAGTATTTTATAGACCGTGTAAAGGAAATAACATGCTCCCCCGTAGTTGTGTGTTGGAAATCTAAACAAATACAATAGAAGACCAACCCAAATAATACAAATACAAAAAATTTACGTGATTTAAATAAAATGATATAAATCCATAGTTACACTAAATGATAATTCTTATTCATATAATCCCGTTTATAATTACATGAGTATTTATAATAAAAGAAAAAGTAAATGGATTAGGCTCAATAACCCTTCAAACTCTACATATTTAACAATCTCACACTTAGAAATTGATCACATCAAGGACACTCAAAAATAAATCTAGTAAACATTAAAGTTATAACAACATCAAATTAGTGCAATACCTTCTCAACAATTAACCATGAAGGTTAGCTGAAGTTATATAAAACTTCAACTTTTCAGTAATAATTACCTTGGTCAACATATTTGCAAGATTCTCTGATCCAAGGATCCTCTCCAAAAATAAAGTATCATTACTTATTAGTCCTCTAATAAAGTGATATCTCAACTCGATGTGTGTTATTTTTGTATGAAAAACAGAATTTTTTGTGAGATAAATAAACTCTAACTATCGTTATAAAGAATATTATCACATTGTTTCTTGTCTAGCTTCTCAAGAAAATTCTTCAACAAACGCATACATTAAGCTACCGACTACAAACGCATAAAAAACTTTAATCATTATTGTATTGTCTTCATCTGTCTTAGGTGACTCCTCTTGAGTGAGATCAAAGTGAACTCCCAAAAGTGTACTTACGATTTTGGCATCCTGCATTTTGAACTTGTAAATTTGTTCTGACTGATATTCATGCCTAAAATCTACTTTGTAATACTCAAATCCTTCATCTCAAACTCTTCAGACAATTGTGTTTTCAATTTATTAATTTCATCCATGTTAGAACCTGCAACTAACATGTCATCAATATACAATAGTAATATGATATAGGATGGATAAAAAAATTTCATATGACAACACTGATTCATGACACACTTCTTGTATTCTATCCTACTCATAAAACTATCAAACTTTGAGTACCATTGTTTAGGTACTTTCTTCAACCCATACAAACTCTTGGTCAACTTGCAAACCAAGTTCTATTTTCCTACAACTTGAAAATCCTATGGTTGCATCATGTAGATGTCCTAATCAAGGTTACCATGTAAGAATGTTATCTTAATATCTAACTACTCTAGATGTAAATCCTCTACAACCACAATACTCAACACAAGTCTAATAGTAGTCATTTTAACTACAAGAGAAAAAAATCTCATTATAGTCAATACCTATTTTTTGCTGAAAATCTTTCACCACTAGCATTGTCTTGTATCTCTTGTTGTCATCATGTTTTTCCTTGATCCTGAAGACCCGCTTGTTCTGCAATGCCCTCTTTCTTGTTGGTAGGTCAGTTAAACACCAAATTTTATTTTTCTCAAGTGTGTTCATCTATTCTTGCATGGCTAACCCCCACTAAGTTGCATCATCCATCTGCAATGCATCATCATAACATAAAGGTTCTCCATCATCAGTCAATAACAAGTAATTTACAAGTAATTTGTTAAAGGATAAAACTTGTGCAGAGGTCTAATAACTCTGTTGGATTTCCTCACTTCAATTACTAAGGTGATAGGAGTAGTCTCCTCAATAGTCATGTCTCCTAAGCTCTCACATTTTCCTGAAAGATTGTCTTCTGTAATATCCTCTAACACTATCTTTTTCTTCTTTGTTGACTTCTTTTCAGTTTCAACTTTTGTCTCAAGTTTATCCTTATACATTGCATTTTCATTTTATGTAACATCTCTGCTTCGAATAATCTTTTTGTTCTGATCATCCCAAAAGCAATATCTCATATCATCTGCTCCATAGTCAATAAAAATGTACTTTCTTACTTTCGGATCAAGTTTGTCCTTGTTAACATCTTTAACATGAACATAAGAAGCATAACCAAATACTTTTAAATGAGAAAGACTTACATCCTTGCCTTGTCATTCTTCATCAGGAATCTTAAATCCTATGGGAACTTAGGATCCTCGATTAATGAGATATGTTGTTATGCTCATTGTTTCTGCCCAGAATGTCTTCGGTAATCCTGCATGAATTCTCAAATTTTTTGTCCTCTCATTCTTGGTCTTGTTCATTCTTTCAGCAATATCATTCTACTGAGGTGTCTCGGGAATAGTTTTAAGCATTCTAACTTTTGAAAATTTTCATCAAGTCCTTGCAAGGAGAAGTATGGAAAGATGCACCAGAATCCATTATCCAATATTCAAACTTGCTCTCAACACAACAGATCAACACATCATCATTGTCTTATTTTGTTGCATTTATTGTATTATCATGCCTCTTTTCTTTAGGAGTAATACATTGATTCCTAAAGTGTCAGTTTTACTGACAATTCCAACAAGTAACATCCGTACGAGATTTGGACTGCCTTTACTCCTTGAACTTTGATCTACCATGTCTTGAATCTTGTCTTCTTTTAGGTTTTCTACCTCTATCTTCGGTATTTAATAAGGAATTTATTGATTCTTTAGCATTCCTTCTACGAACATCTTCATGATTAAATCTCAAATTCCTTCAAAGGTTAATTTCACAGTCCCAGATGTCCTGACTACTATCGTAACAATTTATGACCAACTATCAGGCAACGAAGATAATAATAATAGGACTTATACTTCATCATCAAATTTAATATTCACTAGCACTAATCTTGACAATAATGAATTAAATTTATTTACATGATCTGTAACACTGATACATTCTCACATCTTCGTATTAACTAATTGACAAATCAAAAATACATTTTTGATGTCGATGACTTCTCGTACATGTTTGATAATGTTTTTATTAAACCATATGTTGTCTTTTTATTGATAATGTTGTAGGTAATATTTTTCGTAAATATTAATCTGACAACACCCAAAGTTTGTCGACCTAACAACTCTCAATCTGTCTGAGACATTGTTTCTGGATTATTCTCAGATAAAGGTTGGTACAACTTTATCTGAGAAAGATAATTTTCAACATATATCTTCCAAAATTCGAAATCGTTTTCATTTAACTTTTCAATCTTCACTTTTCTATCTTCCATCATTGCTCCCACTCGCATGAAAAAAAAAAAAAACTTAAACTCTTTATACCAATTAATGGAAACATAAAGACAATACAAGACAAAAATAAATAAAAATTTAGATGATTTAAACAAAATAATCTATATTCACTACTGAACTATATAATTCTTATTTATATATTTATAAATATTTATAATAAATAAATAGATAGGTAGGTAAAACGAATAATCCTTCAAACTACACGTAATTAACATTTGTGAACAATCAAAATCCATTTGTCAGTTTCCTTGGATTCTAAGTAAGATATATGCATATTTACAAGAACCCACATGCTAGTTAGTAGCATATAGCGTACTTCTCTCACTCTCACTCTCACTCTCACTCTCACGAACTCCTTTTCTCTTTATTCTCTTCCCTCACCATTTCTTGCATTTTCATCCTCTCTGGTTTATTCTCTTACATGGGTAAATTAGATGACGAAATTATCTCCATTGGCTCATTCACAGTAGCTATTTTTATTAAAGGTTGCAGGTACTTCTACAAGAGGTGTTTTTCTTCAAATAGAAACGAAATCGTTTACTGAGAAAGTGTATGTGACACTTTTTTTATTCTTCACACGGGTTACTCATATAGCTCGTAGGATAATATTGTAGTTGACAAAATGAGTTTTCAGATATATATGAAGAACATATGGTTGAAAGATAACTTACTTCAAAGGAATCAATCCAAGTATACTAGTAAATCTAGGAACAAATGCGACACAGCTTTTCTTTTAACAATAAAGTAAAACAATTTATGCATAAAAAAGTAATAATATTCCAAATGGAAGAAATAAAAATAATTATATTTG